CCCCGGTGGACGTAAACAGGTTGTCCAGAGTCCATGTCAGCGCGTGCATGCCCACCTCGCTACCGTCGACTGCCACCATGACCTTCATCTTCTTACCCTCACCGGTCAGCTTACTCTCCTCCGCCATCATCATCCTTATCTCCGCTGGCTCCTCCTCCATTAGGATTGAGAGAAGAGGGCAACTTTGTCCATATGAATATTTATGAGAGCGGTTGCGCGTGCAAAGACGACACGTACTCTGACACTTGTTGAGTAGCGAGGCTAAAGATTCAAATAAATATCCATGCACATGAGGACAACACAGATATATATGTAAAATATCAAAAATTAGCAAATCGGATTTCTTTAAATTAGAAAAATTTAGGAATAATTTTAATGATTTAGAAATCTAATTCTAACTTTTTCGATATGCACATAACAGGTAACTAGTGTTACTTCTGATTTTAGGATTTCTTTATTTATTTAAGCAACACTCATATTTCACATCCAGTTAGGGCCCGTTTGTTTGCACGGAAGTAACTGTGAAATAGCAAAAGTAGAAGAAGTAGATGTTAATTCTGCTACTTATTGGCAAAAATATATGTTTGTTTCTCTTGAAAATCTACTTCCGCTACTTCCTTAAATGATGATGTGACGTTTACGTGGCATTTCCATTTCCTTATATTTTTCCATCTTCGAATGTATTGGAATATGTGGAAAGTTGATGTAGGGTGGGGTCCACGAGGAAAAAAAGATTCTCAAATATATAATTAAGAAGCGACCAGATTATTTTCACAACCGACTCCCTCACAACCGATTCTCAAATATATAATTATTCGTTTATATTTGTTACTTGAGCAACAAAACTTCTGTTAGGTTGCTTCCTAATTGGATAGTTGCAAGGAACTGTTTATTTGCTACTGAAAGTGCTCTGATACCAATTGAAAGTACCCTAGAGGGGGTGAATAGGGTTATTGCTAATCTTATTAGATATTAATACCGATTAAAACTTATTAACAAATAATTCCTGCAAGATAGATATATAAAGTGATATGAGTAAGAATGAGCAATATAAACAAAGTGTAATATTCTAACAATGAGATACACAATGAGATATATGCAAGGATAAGCAAAAACAAATGTGATAGGGCAATATAAACAATGGGGCAATGGAGAATAAAATAGACTAAGCAATAGACACGAATGATACGCCAATGCAAACTCTAACAGACAAATATGATCACGGAGTTCAGACCTTCCGTCCTACGTCTCTGCTCCCCACTCCGGAGGAGAAATTCACTATCACAACCGAGTTTTCTACGCTCACCCGAATAACATTTACACCTCATAATTCGGTTTTCTAGTTCACCAAAAACTTTACAACACACACAATTACAATCACACTCTACACCCTCTAAGTGTTGGTCTCTAGCTCATGTTTTCCTTAAGTTTTAGGAAATTACAACCTACCTCTAGGCATTACTACCGACGCCACTCCTCTTGGGACAACCCCGTCTCTCACCACACACTCCTCCTACCTCTAGGCATTACTACCGACGCCACTCCTCTTGGGACAACCCCGTCTCTCACCACACACTCCTCTCGGTGTACAAGTGTACAACCCCGTCTCTCACCACACACTCCTCTCGGTGTACAAGTGTGATACAACGTGTAACTCACAATAAAACTCAATTACAATAAAATGTTCTCTAATTGAATGAGAACTCAATGAAAGCTCAATCTCACAAATCACAAACCCAAAACCAAATATATAATGTATGAAATACTACAAGCTCAAATAGGGTGTGTGATAAAATGAGTATAAATAAAATCTAACTCAATTAGGAAACTAGCAATAATAAGAATATGAAAATCAATAATAAAATTACTAGAGAAAAAAGTTAGAGAAACTTCTCTATAAACACAAAGAGGTTGATGAAGATTGAGGATGAATTCCTCAATTGAAAATGCAAGTCTCCTCTTTGTAAATTCAAACACCAAACTTAAACTTTGAGAAACAAACTTTTAAACACTTAAAACTCTTGTTAAAAACCCTCTTCCAAAACTTAATTCTGATGAGAACAATAGGGATTTATATAGGATGAAAAACCAATGCACAAAACCCAAGCAAAACCAGCAAAAATGATAAAATAACAAAGGCTAGAAATATAGTCGTTGGAGCTAGTCAGTCGACTGACGGGATACATCAGTCGACTGATGAGCTGACCGTTGTAGGTATTTTTCAGCTCATTAGTCAACTGACGATCTTTATCAGTCGACTGGTCAGTCGACCAAAACGAAACAGAAACTTTTTTACAATTGCAGACACTTTTGTCAGTCGACTGATTGGTCGACTGATTTCATCAGTCGACTGATCAGTCGACTGATAACAAGTATACAACCTGTTTTAAAGCAGAAATTTGATTTTTAAACTGCCTTTAAAAATAGTAAACAAATTCTAAAAATTATAAAACTTTGGGAAATAATTATAGACATGATAATACACATGCTACAAAAACTGGTTTTCAAAAAGCATCTCCTAAATATGAAATCTCATCATTTTGCAAAATCACTTAAGTATGAACATGTTAAAAACTTGATTTTACCAAAATGACTTAAACAAAACTTTGAAACACTTTAGGATGGATTTAGAGACTTATACAATATATGAAAATAGTGTAAATAAGTCTTTAATCCATAAACATAATATTTTACAATTTCAATAGAATATGAAACACATAAATGTGAAAATGAAGATATATATTATTTCATATCTATATAGATAAAACAAAACAACTAATCCATATAGAAAACAAATAAGTATTATATATCTATTTGTTTGCAAAAACTTTTATGGATAAAACACATAAACCATTAAATTGTGTGTGTGTGTGTGTGTATAATATCGAGCTTAAGGTATTAACACACAAAGTATAAACCCTAAACTAATTTACCCAAGCTTGATAGATCTTCAATATACTTGACTTAGTTGCGGATGAAGCTTGATCTTGAATATGACTTGAATTGCATTGACTTCAACCACTATTCCGCCAACCTCCATTGGATTTGATCGTGAATGTTTGATTCCATCCATCTTCAAACTTATTGTTTGTCTAGAATACCTAATAAGAAAACGTAAACACTAGACAAATAATATTAGGAATTGTTTGTAATCATCAAAACAAGATTAGAAGATGTAGGCTCATAACGTGAGACATAACAGCTACCAATTCAATGTTTTCAATACATGTGCTTCCATCAGATGCAGGTTGTCAGCTTGTTTCTACTACAGCTACCAATTCAATGTTTTCAATACATGTGCTTCCATCAGATGCAGGTTGTCAGCTTGTTTCTACTACATTGTCCTGCTTTTGAATTATTGATGTTGTTTTACTCGTGATGTAAGCTTTCTAACTTTTAAGCACAACAATCTTCGAGGCGTGTGGTGTATTATAATACTTCCATTTCCATTTCTATTTCAATGACAATCCAAGCAAGATTAAAATGAAAGCAACATGTATTAATTACTTCATTGTAATATTTTCAAATATTATCCAAACAAAAAAAGTAAATGAAGAGGAAGAAGTTCTACTTTCATTAATTCTAAAAATATACGAAACAAATAAAAAAAATGTTATTTCCACTACTTCTTATTTTATAGTTTTGAAAGTTACTTCTGTAACTTACTTCTTACTTTTAATACTTCCATTATCCAAACGGGCCCTTAGGAGTGCTAAACCGTATCCATATTCGAGAAAATATATGTAACCGTATTTGTTAGGATACATATATGATTACTCAAATCTATAACCGATAGAATATGATTACGGATATAATTTTGTAGTGAAATATTCGTATCCATATTCAAAATATCCGAATACGTACATATTAGTCATACTATTACGATAGTTTCGATTCTTAGATTATGGAATTGTAACTAATTTTGATGATCAAGATTTCTAATCTTAACTTTTTAATTATAATAAAGATATATCTGTATCCGTATTCGTATCCAAAATGAGTAAGCGAATATGATAAGTATCGGAGCCGGGCCCCCCTGCATCCACTTCATACCCGCTCGTCTCCATGCCATATCTGCGGAATAAATCACTTTCCTAATCGAATCGGATCGGGTTGGATCTGATACCCGAATTCGAGGTTCTGAAAATCCAAGAAACGCTGGCGATATCTTCCTCTTCGTTCACGAGAAACCCTAACGCCGGCCAACTCCAAATCCCCAAATTAATTTTCGAATTCCAATGCTAATCCCTCGCCTCTGTCGCCGGCTCAGGTCAGAGAATCTCCTAATTTTTCTTTCATATCTCTATACTTTATTCTCAATTGGATTTTGTTGAATTTTCTGAACCCAATTAGAATCGATTAACAATTTTGTGCTTGCAGGAGCTCCTTGATCGGCCTTGGTAATGGATATAATCCGATGTCGAATCCACTACCGAGACCAATTTGGGAGGGAAATAAAGTCATCACCTTTTCTCCTCCAGTGGCTACTTCACCTTTACAAGTTCGTAGATTTGGTAGCAATGCGCTTGTGACTTTGAACACAGATAACAATGCTGTTAGGTTTTCCCTTGTTGATCCAATTGCTGCT